GTTATGCAAATAGAAAAGAACTTGGCAGATAGGATACAGTGTGGGAAAATGTGAAATTACGCACTTTGGCAAGAAGAATACAGAATTCAAATATTATTTACATGACCAAAGATTACAGAAAGCTACAGCATGTAGGTATTTGAGGCTTCTTGTGCCTAAATCACAATAGCTAGCATTCAGGTTCAGTGGGCAATAGGATGGCAACCAGAATGCTGACCAATGTCTTCTCACCACTACCCACAACCCTCCAGTTAGATGACTGGTGGTGATTTATCTCTGATGAGAAAGCAATCCTTAGTCACCCAGACTGTGGTGACTTTACTGTTCCAGGACGGATGGGGAGACGGGTTGCTTCCCCATTGAGTGTAGGACCAGAGGGCATAATCTCAGTAAGAGGGTGCATAAATTAACAAATGAGGATTGAGGGTAGTGAACCTATGGAATACTTCACCAGAGTGCTGTAGAGGCTGGATTACAAAGTATAGATGCTGAGAAAGGCAGATTTCTGAATTAGCAAGGGTTATAGGAATTGGCAGCAAAGTGGAATTAAGGATCAGATCAACTACATCTAAATGAATGGTGAAGCAGAATTAATGGCCTACTGCTGCTCCTATGTCTTAATTACAGTCCCAAATACTAAAGTACCACTGAGCTCCCCTTTCAGTCCCAAACACCCCGTCCCAATAGGGAATGTATTATGCAAAAAAAAATTAAATTGCTTTTCGCGTTTCAACACATACCCAAGAAACAAGTTTGGCAAACACTATTTGACTAGAACTGCATGCATTTGGTGTGATATCCTGGGAACTATATTATATGGTGCAGACTACAAAGTCAAGGACTCTATTTTGATCTGTTGATTGCAACTCTACAGTATCTCATGTTAGACGTCAAATCTATTAATACTCCCCAAATCTATTACAATTTCTCCCTCTTAGCCAAGGCAGAGAGGTCTGCTATTTTTTCTTCACTTATCATACTTTGCACTTCTGAAATTTCTACTGCTGCCCAACTTCAAAATTCTAGCAGTTAAATTTATGTAGTGCCCAAAAGCAGTAAGCCTCCCAAGATGTTTCACAAAAGCATCACAAAACAAAGCATGACAATGAGTCACACAAGGAGACACCAGACTAGAGGCATGCTCCAAGGAATTCCAAAAGAAAAAAAGCAAGACGGAAATGTGAAGGAAGGGTACCAGACAGATTACAGCTTTTGCAACTGAAAGCAGGGAGAGATCAAAAGTGAAGCAAACATAAAAGTGTAAAATGTGCAAGAGTCTAGGACCAGAGACATCTTGAAGAGTTGCAAGGCAGAAGAAAGTTAAAAGGGTGCCAGAGGCTTCTGAAAACAAGCATAAGAATTCCAACTTAAAGTTGCTACCTGGCCTAGGAGCAGCTCACTGTCCACCATGAGATAGAGGAATGGAAACAGGCAATGAACCGTGGCACGGGTAAAGTTCCAAGTGCAAAATAAACTCCCCTGCAGTCTCACTTTCTACCTTTAAGGCATGCCTTAAAACAGCTTCTTTGGGTTGGACTGTTTTCACATTTAACTTGGTGCACTGCAACCCATGACTTTAAAGTCTGGCATAATATACTAACCTGATCATTTTTCAGCAAATTACCAGGTTCATTGTGCCCCTAAAGCAGCTGCCACAAAAATAAGCCCCGATTCATTTCACATGCAATACTTCCATTGATATGAAGTCAACAAACAGTATTTCACATGATAAAATGTGTTTGCTGTTACACTGTACTTTTAGATCATGAATGCATAACTTGGCATAAACCCCTAGTACAAGACAAAAGAAAGAATGACCCCATGGCTCTTCCATAATCTATTAAGGTTTCTAAGATAAAGTTTCATAACATTTAAAAAAATTAAAACATTTAATCTAATAATGAATGGCAATCTTGTTGACAGAGACAGCTATTGTTGGCTTTGTTACCAATTTTACAAGAGAACTTTACAGCTGCCAAGACTAGATTCAGTGCTGTTGGCTGCTGAGAGAGATTACTAATCAGGAGCACAACAACAAATGATGTCATATTATAAAGGGCATGTTTTTTCTGGGCCTGCAGAATTCACATTTTTCACAGCTGTACTAAATTGATTTCATACACTGCTATAAAAATTAGCAGCAAGTCTGCTAACACCAATAATGCTTGTCAAGTGAATATCTGCCCTGGTAACATGCACTGCAGAAAATGCAAAACTCCAAGCATAGCATAACAAAGGAATACTCTTGTGTAGGAGTAAGGTTTTAAAATGTTTTGTTGAGTTATATTTCTTTACTGGCAAAAGACTGACATTTGACCACAAGTTAAATGACCATCCTAAACTTTCGTTTTACCAGAATTTAATACAAAGGCTATAAAAAAATTTGCATTGTATAGATTTGCTTAAAGTGGAAAAGCTACAAACATTCAAAGTTAAACAACGAAGATCAGTTATTACTTATGCTTTGAGATGTATCTGAAAGAACAGTAACATCAATTTAAACCATATTAACTGCCTAAAAGGTACGTTATGGTGTTCTGATGAGTGGTCATAAAGTGAAGTTTACAGCTCATCATACCCAAGAACCAATTGTGCAATGAAATAGAAAGCAAGTACTGTGGATCAGAAATAAAGAAAAAAAATGAAGTGCTAGTGCAGGTCTGGCAGCATCTCTGGGGAAAGAAAAAACAGTTAACAGAACATAAAATTGTACAGCAAAGGAACAGTCCCTTTGACGCTCAAATGTTGTGTTGCACGTGACGCTAAATTTAACTAATTCTTTCTGCTTGCCCTTAGTCTATATCCCTCCATTCATTGCATATTCATGTGCTTATGCAAAAGTCCCTTGAATGCCCCGATTGTATCTGCCTCCACTACCACCACCATCCCTGGCAGCATGTTCTAGACTCGTACCATTCTGGGTAGGAAAAACAACTTGCCCCCCACATCTCCTTTGAACTTTCCCCCTTTCGCCTTAAATGCATACCCACTCGTTTTACTCACTTCAACCTTGGAAAAAAGAAAGATTCTGACTGTCAACCCTATCCATGCATCTCAATTTTGTCGATTCTATCAAATCTCCCCTTAGCCTCCACCACTCCAGGGAAAACTACTTGAGTTTTTCTAGCCTCTCTTTACAGCTCGTATCCTCCAACCCAGGCAGCATCCATTTTCTGAAGAAGGGTCCTGACCCGAAACGCCAGCTTTCCTGCTCCTCTGATGCTGCTTGGCCTGCTGTGTTCATCCAGCTCTACACCTGGTTATCTCAGCATCCTGATAAACTTCTTCTGCAGCCTCTCCAAATCCACATCCTTCCTATAATGCAGCGACCAGACTGAATGCAATGTTCTAAGTGTGGCCTAACCAAAGTCTGATATAGCTGCAGCATGATATCCTGACTCTTGCACTCAATTCCAACCAATAAAGGCAAGCATGTCACACATGCATTCTTTACTACCCCATCTACTGGCATGGCCACTTTCAGGGAGCTATTGACTTGAACACCAAGATCCCTCTGTACATCAATGCTGTTCAGGGTCCTGCCATTAATTGTATACTTTTCCTTAACATTTGATCTCCCAAAGTGCAGCATCTCACACTTACCTGCATTAAACTCCATCTGCCATTTCTCCACCCATAACTGCAACTGATCTATATCCTACTGTATCCTTTAACAATCTTCTACCCTACTCACAATTCCACTGATCTTTGTATCGTCTGCAAACTTACTAACCCATCCTTAACTTTGAATCCATAATAACTCCTCAGTTTAGTTCCTCACTTTTCTTGAAAACACTATAAAAACTACCTCTTTGACTGAGCTTTTAGTCATCACCATATAAATCAGTTATTATTTTGCTTTATAGAGAACTCCTGTAAAGCACCTTAAATGCTTTCATTACATTAAAAAAAGTTATCCAACAGTACTGGAAGCCAGAGATTGCACAGTCAAATTTGAGGGGGCAGGGAGGGAATAAAGGAGGTACAAATGCTTCTATTTCCTATTGAGATACATACATTGCCGATAAAAAACAACTTTTCTAACAACCATTTATGCACATGAATAAGGTATTAAATGTAACTTGAACAGTAAAAACATCAATCTTGCTTTCTAATTCAATTATAAAGCATTAGATTTCTCAGTTCAGTAAAATGTTTCAGGACACCAATAGAAGGCAGTATAAAATGGCAGGAAACAACTTCCCACAGGAACTTAGGTAATCATGCTAGATATTGCAGTCACGACAAGTAAACAAGTCAGCTCATTCCAACCCATTCATTTATATTGGATTTTTGAATCCTGATTGCAGCCTACACGAGTTGTAACAAGATGGTTCAACAAGGAAGTGTAATCGAAACAGATGTCTTAGAATTTAGTCCGTGTAGTCACTTGCAGAACAGAAAGAACCTGAAAAATAACCCAAACATCTTGTAGACAAATGCATAATCCAAGTTTTTATTTAAGCTATTTTCAGTGCTCCTTGTGCCAAGATCACCACATCAAAACCATCATTCCCAGAACTAAACAGCAAATTGATGCAGAACAAAAAAGTGGTATGTTTCCAGTCTCCGATACTACAAAGCACTTCACAGTCAACTCATCACTTTTAATGGGTCAGCATTGCCATTTAGACAAATATGGCAAACAACTGCCGAACAGTCCCATAAATAGAAGTGAGATAAAAATCAATTGATAATCCTTTTTGGTGTTGCCCTGATTTGACAAACATTTGGCCCAAACACCAAAACTTCTGCAAAAAGTTTATCACCATATTGTTGCACTTCTCTCAGCATTCAGCCCATCCATTCTAGGCAACATAGCTCCTACAACGCAAAGCAATCGTGACTTTTAACTAGCTGCAGTTGCTTCCTTCTGTCCTCGACAGCATTGAAACTCACTTCGTAGCACAAAGTAAATCTAAGAGTGCTGCCAGCCAAACATTCAAACTGCCGGTATCAGCAGCAAATCTAATAACAGCGGGCGAAACATCTCAAATTACCTCATAGGAAATTTGATGATAGCTTTCCAGTTTCAAAGGAATGATTTATGTCCACTTAAGTGCCTCCATATATCCTCACGTTCGGAACCACAGCGTGTTAACCATTGCGACGTTTATATACAGGAGAAAATTACAGTCCTCATGCGAACTAAATTCAGCTCTCGCCAATCCATTCCCTCACTTCACTCCCTTTCAACACCAACAACTTCTGTACATGAAAAGTGTATGCAATGGGTTTGGCTCGCTGCCTTTTGTTTCACTGACAGTTGCCTGGTCCCTCAGACAGTGGGTGTGCCCCAGTAAGTGAGAGAGACTCAGGAAGTCGCCACTTTATGAACCTCAATACGAGTTCATTATAATTGAGCAGTTTACTTAGCAATTAGAAACCACCAGGGAAGAGACAAGAAAGCCCCGAGACTTAACGTAACTACCGTTCCACGGACTCGCGGGGGTAAACATCCTCCCGGTCTACCCACAGAAACACAAACTGGAAAGACTGGACTCAAACTGCACACTCCATCTCGCTAATCGGGACCGGGAACACCGCTTTAAGCCAAGTCCCGTACGAGGTGCTTCAACACAAGAAGCCAACCTACCCACAACCTAAACGACGAGTGATCCCAGACCACTGTCAGATCTCCCTTGCTGAATCAGCAGCAACACCATCCCACTCAAGCAGCCAGCTGCCCGCCCGCTTTCAGGCGGATTTTCCTCCGAGCGCACGATCTAGCCCCAAGTGCCGGCCTCTCGTGATTGGCGGCCGCACCCATCCAATCGAACCGCGAGCTCAAACGGGCGACCAATAGCGAGCGCGATCGTCACAAAGACGGTTCTTCAAGCCCGCCAATCACGAGAAGGCGGGACGGTGGGGTTACGCGCTTCCCTGCCCCGTCCTCCTCCCCAAACCACTTCGGGAACTGAGTTTGTGAAGACAATGGCGAGGATACTGTGATTAACTGAATGGAGAGTTCTCAGCACTGTCTTTTGTTTTAAATGTTTTAAGAGTATACCACTTTAGTAAACAAACTTTGAAATTACACGAACATTTATTAGCTCTAATCGTCTTTGACAATCATAATAAGGAACGACCTTCAAAGACACCATTTAAGAAGCAATCTAATTTCCATCAATTTGCTAATCGATACGCGTTGCTTTCAAGTGAGTCTTTTTCTTAGTCTCGGCTAACGGGATGTACAGGAAGCAAATACCACCATAACACATTTAACTGAAAGTGTTATTCCCCACAGAAGAAAGTCATAAGTATTAAGTAGCTTACTCAAACTAACATCTGTATAGAATGTTAAATGATGATTCAGCTTTCGCCAGTATTATGTGGTGTTCCCTACCGGAAAAAAGCAATTTGAATCAACCAGTGGACATCTATGACTGCAGTCCAATCGTGTAGGCATCCATTAACAGTCAAGACAGTGCTAGATTATAATATATTTATTCATGCCGCTGAGTGGTGAAGCAGTACACGTTCTCATCTCAGGTCCAGAACAGCTATGGAAGAGGTAACATAGTGTAGAGCTGGAGGAACACAGCAGGTCAGGCAACATCAGAGAAGTAGGAAAGTTGACATTTTGAGTGGGGACCCTTCTTCTGAAATAGAGAGGGGGAAGGGAGCTCAGAAATAAATAGAGCAGAGGGGTGGGGCTGCGGAAGGTAGTGGGATGGTGACAGGTGAGTACAGATAGAGAGTGGTGGGGATTGGTCAGTGAAGTGGGAGGAACGGATAGGTGGGAGAGAAGATGGACAGGTTGTGTCAGGTCAAGAAGGCTGGGATCAGAGGGAGGGTTGATCATGGGATGAGGCAAACTGGTAAAATCCACATTGAGACCATTGGATTGTGGGCTCCCAAGGTGGAAAATGAGGTGCTGCTCCTCCAGTTTCCGGGTGGCGCCATGGTGACACTGGAGGAGGCCCAGCATAGACATGTTGCCCAAGGAGGTAGGTGGGGGTGGAAGAGTTGAAATGGTTTGCTACTGGAAGGTGTTGTCGTTTGCTGTGAACAGAGCGTAAGTGCTCTACAAAGCGGTCTCCCAGCCTCCGCTTGGTCTCACCGATGTAGAGGAGGCCACATCGGGAGCAGCGGATGCAATAGACCACATTGATGGATGTGCAGGTGAACCTCTGTCTGATGTGGAAGGTTTGTTTGGTGCCTTCACTGACCAATCCCCACCACTCCCTACCTGCAGTCACCTGTCACCATCCCACCTACCTTGCCCAGCCCCACCCCTCCTCTCTATTTATTTCTGAGCTCTCTTTCCCCTCCCCCTTCCCCATTTCTGAAGAAGGGTCCTGACCCGAAGCGTCAACTTTTCAGCTCTTCTGATGCCTGGCCTGCTGTGTTCCTCCAGCTCCACACTGTGTTATCTCTGACTCCAGCATCAGCAGTTCTTACTATCTCTGAGTCAGTTATGGAAGAGATCTTCCAGAAGAACCTGCATGTAGACGGAGAAATCTTCCTCTAAATACTTGTTTTTCATTGGCATAAATGATCTGTAAAGATGGTGTCTGTCTAAAATCGAGGTGCACATTGAATATCCAGATAGGAAAGTTATCACAAGAATACATTCATCATATCACTTACAGGAGTGGTTATTGAACTCAATGACAGTGGCAGTATGGATCCAACTGGGTAGTGCCATATGTGCATTATCTCACTCTTACCTGCCTGAAACTCCAGATTGCTCTGTCCAGGAGAATTTACGTATGGATAGAAGATGCATTTATAGAGCTCCTCTCTGTCCACAACAATTAAAAAATCAACAATCCTAAGAATCATGTTCCTTTGTAATGCATAGCCATAGAATCTGGGCAGTATGGAAGATATGAAGGAGGATCCATTGGATTGCCAACCTTTTTCTGCTACATTGAAAATTGCACAAGAAATGGAATCAAAGAGTCCTTAACTCAATTCCGCTGTGTTACAAAATCATAGCAAGCAATCTATTGATGTTGTGGTCAATATAAATTGGCTCCAGAAGAACATATCTCTTAAAAAAAAACTGCAACTAGTATTTTTTCCAGGGTAGGTATCGTAGTTCCTTAAATTACTTTGTTTTTGTCATTGTGATGCAATCCAACTTGTAACAGAGATAGGGTCCAAACTTTACAAAGATGTGCAGGTTAGATGGATTGGCCATGCTAAATTGCCCTAGTGTTCAGGGATGTGTAGATTAGGTGGGTTATGCAGGGAAGGGTCTGAGTGGGATGCTCCAAGGGTCGGTGTGGACTTGTTGGGCCAAAGGGCCTGTTTCCACACTGTAGGGATTCTATGAATTCTATAGACTTTTTCTTTAAGGCAGCTTATTTGCTGTTTGCTATATCTAACAGAAAGAATGCTGATGTTCCACTGGTTTTAAACTGCACAGTCGTGATCCCATGAGGTAATGGGATTCTCTCACCTGTTATTAGAAGCACTATAGATCCAAGATGGTCTCCAACAAAGATGGTTAATTAATCCCCTATATCCGGTTAGCTGTTGTGATAGCTCAAGGTGATTAAATATTAAAGCTTCAGCTGTGACTCTTGTATAATTTGACTTCTATCAAATGAAGAGAAGCATTCGCACTTCAAACTGGTCATTTTCTAGACAGAACTGAACTGTTTGTGCCATAGTCCATTTCAGTTTTCTTAATGCAAATCACTTTCTTAACAACATTGTTTAGGCATCCATTTTGTAATTCCTTGAGAAGCTTAGCCACCTTGCTGAGGTCTTCTGCAGCCATTTCAAAATAGTGCCCGATGTCATTTAAAAGTGATTTCTTTCAAACACAAATCTCCTGGTATTAAATCAGTTTATGGAATTAATGATTAATAATCCATATTTTATACCTTCATGACAGAAGATATGGTGGTTTATAACAACAGGTGCCCGGTTGCAAAGCATTACAGTAAGATAATGAATCTTTTTTGTTATATTGATGAAATTAGGAAAGATCTGAGAACTTTGATCCAAAGCAGTAACTATGATTGCTTGAACCCTTCATCACCACATTTCAAATAGAGACTGCCTTGGAACAGAAAATCAGAGTAAGTTTGAATTGATCATTTATGCTGCAATTTCCATTTAATTTAGACAATTATACCATACCAGTCTGCTGACTATGAAAGGAGCTCAGACAATACTGTGATTCTCCAGGTCACCAGGACACCTCTCACTAGAACCTCAATTGTTCCTTTCTGAATTTGTCCCAGTTTTGCATCTTCTAGCAAATCAGATATATTGCAAATAAATGTTAGGAAGATTACGTTGCCAGAAAACTGAAGCGCATTTTTTATGAAACTAAGAACAGCACAATTAATGCTACACAAATTGGACTAACTAACTATAGGTCTTCAACAGGTTCCTATGAAATGCTTTTAAATCAACAATGATTTATTTATCTCCGTATCTACAGTGTTTTAAAACAAAATACCATAAAAAGTAAATTAATTTAACTAGTTCACTCACGTTTGATCAGATAATAAGCTTTAATGATATTAAGCAACACGATGCTATTTTATAATTGTTCATTGCAGAGTCATTACAATATTGCAAAAGCCAGTGGCTACCACAAATGTTTTGTGACATCTCGCCAAAGAGACAAGTTAATATAATAAATTAAGGCAGTACCTACATTATTAAAAAACACATTGCAATACAAAATTATACAAAACAGTTCATTCCACAGTTCTTTTGAGAAAAGAAATTAAGATTGATTATTTAGCCTTTGAGCTCAGAAACAAGTGCCCACTGCCCAAAGCTAACTTGGAGAGTTATGGGTGTTACAAATAGGTCGGCAAGGCATCCTTGAGATATTTACTTGAACTTAGATTAAAAGAAACAACTTTTAAGTTCATGGGACTTAAAACGGCTATTTTGTAGGTTCCACTGTTGGTATCTTTGTTTTGCAGAAATGGATGTACAATAAATTTATTTTAAGTCACTGAATGACATTAGGAATAGAAGCAGGCTATTCAGCCCCCCATTCATACTCTTAAATTTTATTCTATTAAGTAACTGAAAATGACTTGCATTACAGAGCCATTTACATTGAGGCACAATAATCATTTATCAGTAATTATAAAAGATTATCTTTTAGTGTCCTTTCACCTAAAAGACAGCTTAATTTAGGTTCTGAGGAAGGATCACTCAACCCGAAACATTAACTCTGATTTCTCTCCACAGATGCTGCCAGACCTGCTGAGCTTTCCCAGCAATTTGTTTTTGTTTCTGATTTCCAGCTTCCACAGTTCTTTCAGTTTTTATTTAGCATAATTTACAAGTTTCCTCAAAGGCCAACAAATAAATTCAA